ACATCATTTCTGACATATGTATCTGAGGCGTGATGTCCGGTCTGGTCAACGGAAAGAACAAGGTCGTTTAGAGAGCATTTCAACATTGCACCTGCTACAATTTTCAGTTGTTCCCCTTCCCGTCTCAATGACAATTATTCAATTCACACAATGCAGGGAGAATAATAATCAGACAGCAATTTCGATATGGCATTGTAATAAAAGTCATAATATTGCATTAACTCCTTTAATTGGAGAAATACGACGTCTTTTATGATGGAATAAAATTAATAATCAACGACAAGACAATAAAACTGAATGAATCGGCTGCTGCTGCTTGAACATAATTTACGGCGTATCCATTTGTTATAGTTCTTTCAAATTGGTATCAATCACAGAAATTTGACTATTAGATAACTGTCTGGACGGGAACACTTTGTATACTAGTGTTATGGTATTTGAAGGGAATTTTTGATTAGTCGAGAGGAGATGTGAAAATCTTGAGGGATCATTGGATATCAGAACGAGCTCACGATCAGCTAAGCATATGCTGCAGAATGAAACAGAAACACAAAATGCAAAATTGTCTATGATCAATGAACTGTAAGATATCGAAAGAAGGAATCTAGCCAGTCGAATCCCTCTTTACATATCCATTTTGACAGAGTCTATGTATCACGTCCGTAATTATTCAGCTCTTCCTACAGTGTTCAATATGTGATGGTGTCAGCGTCATATTTTGGACAGCAGATTATAATAGGCACCTGAAACTGAAACATTTGATTGTAAATTTTTAAGGGTGTAATATAACTATAAATGAATTACTTGACAATGAAACAAGCAAAAACAGAATAGCAATGAAATAGATTTTGTGCGATGGTTGGTCATGTATGAGATATCAGAAGAATACTTCATATTGAATAAGACGATTTTAAGAAACAAGTTAATAGACATATTATAATACACATTCACAGCAAATCTGGTTTTTCGAACTGAATTGAATTTCAAAGTGTTTTAATGTGCACATTGTTGCTAGCGATTCAGTCGTTACTATATCATCATCTAATCTGTCATCAGCAAAATCAGTGGTGATCATGACGATAAATTCAATTAGTCGGTAGTATTGAGGTAGTATATCATTGCGAGAATGAATGTGTTATCGTAGTTCTCGAATAGTCAATCAATCAATCATGCAATCAAATACCCAATTGCAGCAACTGAATCACTAGTTCCTTTTGTAATATCTTGAATCAGAATCGGAAATGTCCACATTTCAACAAATATTCAAGAAACATCAAAAATTTTCGTCATTTTAGAAAAAATTTCTAAAACATTTTCGGTCATCAGCAAAGTTTTTGGACGATTGGAAAATATGTTTTAGAAATAGTAATATTATTATTAATATTGATAGTATTCGGTATTGCCACTATGATTATGATATTCGATTCAGATGTGCGTGTTGTGACCATAATGGAAGGACTGCGTTCCTCAAATGAAATTCGTCAGTCCGAAGCCGCCTCCGAGTTAGCCGAGATGCTGTTGCTGGGCAACGAAGAGAGCCTGCCGAATTTACCGGTCAAAGATATTGTGCACGCTCTGATTGCACTCCTTCAGAAAGAGCACAATTTTGAATTAGTTAGTTCCAAATTCATCTCTCATCATATTTTCATCTTTATATCCGTATATCCTTGTAAATCTTTATGGATTGAGGCATCTCAAGTCCATATCTGTACCGTTTTGTATTCATGAGTTAGCTTTATACTTACACATAAGAGCGATTGAAACAACATCACAAAAAAGTTTCAACTAACGGATTGTTTTGAGTTTTAACGTGAAAAATTCAGATGCTAACAGCGGCGAGATGTATATCAAACATGCTCGAGGCTTTACCCCGTGCCCTACCGATTGTGATCGATGCAGTGCCGTATCTGCTGGAAAAGGTTCGACTTTTGCCGAATTTTCATTATCCTTGGTGAATTTGACCTTGTCTTGAACTGAATAAGATCTAATGTGTCGTTGCATTTTGCAGTTGAAACGTATCGAATGCATTGATGTGGCTGAACAGTCGCTGATGGCTTTGGAGGTGATGTCGAAACGAAATGGAAAAAATATTATGGCAGCGGTTTGTTTTGTCGATTTGTGTTAACGTCTCGTTTACTTTCTTGAATGCTGTCGAAAGAAGTGAAATACTTTTGTGAATATCTTCTGTTAATTGTTCCATCGAATTGTTATATTAGCTGGATTACCTGGATTGGCCAGGATATCGGGTCGTTTTATTACACTGATGAAAATCGCCCCCTAGAAGGGCTGGAAATGGAAGGAATTGTGTGAGTTTGTATATGTTTCAGGGCGGTATCGCAGCAACAATCTCGCATGTGGACTTCTTTTCGGTGCCCTCACAACGACTCGCCTTTCAAATAGCTGCAAATTGTGCGTCGTTTGTAACGGTGAATGACTTTGCACAAGTTCGAGATTCGTTAGCTGATCTCACGCAGCGTTTACTCATTGAGGTTTGTTGCGAAAATGTTTTTTGTCACGTTTTTATAAAAATTTCATTGGATAATTTCGATATTCCGTATATTTTTGGGTGAAATGAGATTCTTTCAATTATCCTGATCATAAGTAATAAAGACCTGGATATTGCAAGTGCAGAAGGAGGTTGTTTCTTCCTTGTTTTATGTGAGAATCCGTGCTTTATGAGTTACTCGAGTAATCATGAAAGTACAACTGTACAGTGAAATCAATTGTTGAGCAACGCAATGGTCAGCTAACAAATAGGATAAGTAATTGAGGAACTGGGGAAATTGTGCAAATCGTTTTATCTGTCATTGATTGATAAGGTGATGAGGAATGATTGATTTAAGGACAA